AGTCCAACTCTTTGATTTTCGGTATTATTTCCTACTTTCTCCAGGCTTCTCACTCATGTCTTCTTCCTCCTTCTGCCTCAGGCACCTGACTCAAAGTGTTGGCTCAGGGACAAATGGCAGAAAAAAATTCCTAACTAATTAGCTAATCTGTTTATCAGAGTCCTTGCAATACATTTGCGATGTCTTTTCCCTGAAGAATTAACAGTAACACTCCAAGGGATTTTCACTGCAGGAGCAGTTGACATAACTGCCAGTATTTGTGAGTAGGTTCAGGGCTAGCAAAGTCAGTTCACCTTCTCAGCCCACAAAGAACGTGAGGGTCTGCCTGCCTCAGCTCTGCTCCACCACATCCCCGTGGTGTGGAAAGAGGCAGCCCTCAGAAGCTGCTTTTTGCTGTGCTAAAGTCAATGGTTTCCTCGGACTCCCAAGCTGATGCTTGGTCTCCTTGGCAACCTGAGGGCCCTGACTCCTGCTCAGCTGTTACATGTGAGTCCCTGCTGTTGTGTTCCCAAGCCTGTGGTAGGCCGAGTTCCTAATTCCTGCGATAAAGAATCATTTGGGGTCTCCCTTGTGCCCCTCGTGCATGGTGTCCACCTACCCTGACCCACCTTTGTTGTCCATTTGGGTTCATGTAACCCATCATGACTCTGAAGGCAATGCAGATACCCTACTGGGCTTGCGTGGAGTTTGTGTACTCACTCTCTCTCTCCCTGTTATTTATTTTGTTGTTTTTTGTTTGTTGTTGTTGTTGTTGTTGTTGTTTCTTTTGTATAGAAGATTGAGCTACATCCTCAGCCCTTTTATTTATTTATTTTTCAATTCTGAGACAGGGTCTCATGAAGTTGCTGAGTTGCTCAGGCTGGGGTTTAACTTATGATTCTCCTGCCTCAGCCTTCACAGCCTCCTATAGAACTGGGATTTCAGAAATGTCCTTTCATCATTCTTAATTGACTCCTCCTCAGAGCATTTAGCTCTTTCTCACTTAATGAGCCTAATAGCAGGCAGATAATTATTGAACATTTTTCTATTTGAGCAGACAGTATAAGGGGTGTGATGGAATCCATTAACAGATGGCCTTGTGAGGATTGCTGACACCTGTGTGACATCCTGTAACATCCGTGCCCCTGCGTGGAGAGGCCCTGCTCCCGCATTGGCTGGACAGTGAGCTCTTTGAGAGCTGGGCCCAGCTTTACCATGCTTAGGGCTTTGGCCCCAGTTGCTAGCCCAGTAGTCTGGCCATAGTCAGCTTGCAATCATTACTAACTGAATAAATAGATTATTTTATCCCTAAGAAAAAGATGTATGTTTTCATCAAACAATATTGCATGTTATTCTTAAAATCCACTTTGTATTTAAAGCTAATGAAATCAGAAACAGTGGTAATACTGATGAGGGGCCCATGATTTACAGTGTCCTTATTGCCTACATGTTTTCCTGCATGTTCTAACAATTCAGGATTTTTAATCTCTGCGGAAACCATTGAGAGCCTGGACAGTAATAAGGGTGCCTTAATAGCCTTTATTCTCAAAAAATCAGTGTATCATGATGCACTGGCTTTCCTGAGCATTCTGGTGGCAGCACCCCCATAAGGACTTCCAGAAAGTAATTCTGATGGAAGCAATAACAAACAGTGAGGGCTTCTCTGTCTTTCCCATTAGCTGCTCTCTCTAGGATCTGCTCATGGGGCCCTTCATGTAGAGCAGGATTTTCCCATCCACAAGGGCTGTATTCTGAGAGTCCCAGTGGATGCCTGAAAGCTAGGTAACATCAAGCCCTATGTACCGTACTCATAATTGAGTGGACACCAAGTGACCACCAGGCAGGTGACACATACAGAGGGGGACGCCTGGACAAGCAATGCTTCGTTTTCCAGGCAGTAGGGAAAGGGCTGACGTGAGGTTTCATCGTGCTACTCTGAAGAGTGAGCACAGAAAACTTACTTCTGTAATTTTCCATTTAAAATTTTTGGACTGTGGTTCATGGTAGATAATTGGAAATGCAGGAAGCAAAACTAGGAATAAGAGAGGACTACTGTATTGACATTTGGAGCTGGATAAGTCTTCATTGTGAGGTTATCCTGGGAATGGTAGGGTGTTTAGAAGCTTCCCTGGCCTCTGCCCCTACCACTGGTGCCACTGTGCTCTCCCCAGAAACAATAAAAAATGTCTCCAAACTATGCCACATGTTGCCTGGAAGACAAAATCAGATCCAGCTGAGAACCCTGCATGTAGAGAACTTTATCCAATGAATTGTCCCAACATAGAAAGTAATGCTAACAGAAGGACCAGTCCTTTGCAAGAGCAGAGGGCAATTCTCATGGTTTACATAGACATAGTATGTCCATTGTCTCATTTAATTCTCTTGGCTACTGTATTAGTCAGCTCTCCATTATTGTAACAAATACATACTCAATTTACAGAGAGAAAAGGTTCCCTTTGGCTCATGATTTGGTCAGTTGGTCCTATTTCACTTGGGCCGTTGGCAGGACAGCACATTGTGATAGGATGCTCATGGCAAAGCAGAGCTGCTTCCCTCGTGGCTGGGATGAGAAAAAGAGGAGAAGGAAGGGCCTGAGGTTCCCTCTAGGATGGGCTCCCAGTGACCGGAAGACCTCAGTTCCTCAGGTCTCTGCCATTTCCTGCTGGTGCCAAGCTGGGGACTAAAACTTTAACACACAGGCCTTTGGGGAACATTTTGGATCCAAAGCATAGCAGCCACCCTGAGAGAGATTTTCTGTCCCAGGTCACCAGTGAGCAAACACATTCCCTGGCTAAGTGACAGTGTGGAATAGCAGGCAGGTCATCTGACTGTTAAAATGCCATGTTTATCCTATCCAGAACTCATCAGTACCCACTGGAGCTTTCATCACTGTCTACTTGAAACTCTGTAGTATTCACGTGTGCATAAGAATTATGTCAGGAAAAAAGAATATGTGGAGTCCCAGGACCATGTGGGGTAGAAGAAAGGGCCCTCAGTTATCACTTTCCAGCCATCATTCGGTCTTTCCAAAGTTGTGTGTTGAGGGCTTACTCTGTCCCATGGCCTCTGCAGACAAGACAGATGGACAAGGTCCCTCCCCTGTGCAACTTGCATTTGGAAAAGGTAAACAGCAAATAAATAAGTAAACAAATGAATAGAGAGGAGCTGCAGATTATGTCCAGTGCTGGGAAGGAAGTGAAGAGTGAGAAGAGAGTAACTAGGGGAAGGGAGCTGCATCACACAGAGTGGTCAGGGAAGTCGTCTGATCTCAACACCTCCCCAAGCCCGAGACACACTGCACCTCCCCAGTCCCAAACCGGGTGCAGTGCGGGCGCTCCTGCACCTGGCTGTGTAAAAAAACGGCCATGTTTTCGTCTCTGCAGCTTCATGGTCTGAGTGTAACTACTGACTTTTAGTGCTGCCCTGAATTATCACAAACTTAGTGACTTCAAAAAACTCAGTTTCTTATCTTACAGCCCTGGGGTCAGAAGTCCTAAAATCGAGGTGTCCGTGAGCCTCCTCCTGGAGGCTCTGGAAGAGAATCTGTCTCCTGCCTGTTCTGTCTTCTAAGGCCACCTGCTTCCCATGGCTCATGGCCCTATACTCATCTTCCAAGTCAACAGAGCATTTCCAGTCCCTTTCTCTGATTCCGACTCTCCTGTCTCAGCTCCTAAAGACCCTTGTCATCACACTGGGCCTACCCCATCATCTAGGAGAATGTCTCCTTTTACGATCCATGGGTTCATCACCTTTCTAAACCTGCAAGGTAGCCTATGCCCAAGGTCTCAGGCACTAGATTACCTTTGGAAAGCGGGTCATGATTTAGTGTATCTCAGTAAGCAATCAAGCATCTGTCCATTTTATTCTTGTATCTATCCACTTTATTTTACAGATTTTAAAAAACCTTGAAAAAGTAAATGAATTTCCTAAAATTACACGTTTAATTATCACTTTGGAATCTGATCACCCCACCCAAGGAGATCATCCCTGTATCCAAACTCTGCTTCTTTCCTGGAGAACATTCCCAGTTCACATTTCTTTGGTTGGTTGACATTGGACCAGAAAGACAGAGTGCCATGCCACTTTTATCCACCAGAGTATGGCAGGCACAGGACTCTGTGCCCCACATACGGTGTGCACTTCTCCAAAATGTTTTTGAATGAAAGAATGAATATTATGTGCATGGGTAAGAAGAGCCCAGTCTTTTTGTGTAGCAGCTCTTGGCAGTGTGTAAACCCTTGGCTATTTTTAAAGCATTGAAAGAAGTGAACTATGAAGTTGGCCCATAATTGAGTTGGGGGCATCATTTTCTCTCCTTCTCCACCAGCACTGAACTTCGAAAGGCTCTGTGCTTTTTGGCATGGTAATCTGTACCTAGAGGTCCGATATACAGCCCTTTGTATACTGACCTCTGAGGTTAACATCAACACCTTTTGGGGGTAGTCCTCAAATGCCTCCCTTCATTATTTCAGTTCATCATTAGAGGAAGAAACCCTAACTGCACATTTCATTGTCATGTTAGGTTTGCTGTGTTTGGCCTTAGAGAAATAACAAAGGAAGAAAATAATCACTAAACCATGCAAGTGTCACTTAGCATGTTATGCAGCACTTAAATGAAAAAATAATTCATTAATATGAAGCAAAAAAGCCAGGTCTTCTCCAAGCCAGAAAAAGACTTCTTAGAAGTCTTAAAAGAAAGCACCTGATGCTAAACAACTGTGTGAAGGAAAGTGAAACAAACACACCTCCTTATGTCATGGAAACATTATATTTATATTATGGAAGTACTGGACATTGCTTTACATTGTCCGTTAATCTTGCCTAATGAATACAGCCACTGTCCTGTCAAGTGAGTTTTACATCTGGCATCTTCTCTCATGAGAAATGAGATCCCTGTCACTCAGGGTGTTATTGAAACAATAAGGACATACAAAACCCAACGGAAATGTCTTCTCTTTTAGCGTTGATTTCGAGATCCCAGATTCTTCACCTCACTTCTAATATATTTACTTTGATTCCAGTGGCCAAGGACGTCAATATCCTTTTTGATGAACTAGAGGCTGTCAGTAGTCCTTGCAAAGATGACGACTCCCTCCTTCACCCCGGGAACCTGACCAGTGCTTCAGACGACGCCAGCAGATTAGACACAGGTGGAGAGGTAAGAGTGTGCGAGTTCTTAAAAACAGAATCCTTGATTTGGGTTGGAACCTGTGATGTGTGTTGTAATGGGCTTTTTAAAGTCAGAATCTCATCAAGCTGTCGACGCCTGGAAAACAGGAAATAGGCTTTGTATTATCTAATGTCTCCCATAGTTCTAGCACTTTCAGATCAGATATTCAAAATCTCTCCAAGCTCAAGACAGGCTTTCAATGGAAAGTGTGCTCACCTTCCTATCCCTACAGACATTTCAATTATGCAAAGGAAAATTCTCAGAGACGCACATGAATTTAAACTCTGCATTCTGGGTGCTGTTAAAGAGTAAAATGTAAGCTTTACAAGGATGCATTGCCTTGTGCAAATCCCCCATCACGTAAAATAGCGACATAGAATGCACCGCCTTCCGTGGGTCCCGTTGCCTGAAGCCTCTGTAATCGGGAAACTTCGCACATGTAAACAGACCCATCTGTTCGTGTGTCATCTCGGAAAAAGAAGTGCCCTGGTGGAGCCGTTTGCTGTGGCACAGCCTCGCTGGAGTCTCATATTTCCTTTGTTCGTGGGCCGGGTTGAGGTGATCCACACACAGAACCTGAGAAATGTTGATGTTTCATGTTCCCTAATGTTTTTGTTGTTCCAGAGCTAATCAAACATTGAAAGAATGACATCTTTACACAGGGAACATTGCTACATTCTACCAAGCTTCGCAGACCTCTCCCCACAAACACCAGGCAATACCTCGGTGTCTGCTTTTTTTGAGAAAAAAGTTAATTCTGTCATTATCCGATCACACAGATACTTGGACTGCCATATGTGTCATGGTCAAGGAACACTGCAAGGGACTCAGAAAGCAACTATTCTCATCCCCTTATTTATAGATGAGGAAACAACCTCAAAAAGATCAGGGCTTCCCTGAAGGAGGTGCAGGTCGTTGTTCTATTATTTTACCATTTTATTCATGGTCCTGGGTTCAAGCTCACTGCCTCACGCTTACTAAGCAAGCACTGTAGCCCTGAGCTACACCCCTGCTGAAAGTACCATGCCGACAGAAGAGTTTTCTTTCTTGGCAAGGAATTGTTAAGAAAATGTTTGCTGAAGTATACTCCCAAGTGCCTCGCTAGGCAAGAGCTAAAAACTGGTCGGTGAGGGTTAATCACCAGTTGAAGCTCGGTGTGTCAGGACAGGGCCCACAGGTGCGTCTGTCCCCCTGGTGGCAGTCTTTTTTTGGGCTGAGCCTGCATGCCTGGTACTTGTGCAAGAAAGTAGTTTCTTGGGTTGGGCTGTAGCTCAGTGCTTGTGAAGTATGCATGAGGCCCTGGGTTTGATCCCCAGCACTGCAAATAAATACGTAAAAAAGAAAACAGTTTGTAGCACGGTCTTGGATGTTTGGCATGTTTACCTTCTTCACTCTGTGTTTGGAACAGACTATTCTGTGCTCTAGAGAAGACAGACTCCTCATTTCTGTTTGGCTGGGTTTAGAGGCACAATTTTGAAATCGAGTTCCCTGAGAAACGGAACTCTGGCCACACCTACCCATGTTTGATGTTCTTTTCCGTGTAGTCTTTGTTACAGGCCTAAAGAGCTCCCATTCCTCCTGTTCTTTTCTTTATAATATATGTAGCATTTGAGGACCACAAAATAGTATTTGTAACTTCTATTTAAGTAATAAAGTATAGTAATAAAATGAATGCCTAGAATCTCCATCCCACTTATGAATTAGAAAAGTGTTTTTCAAAATACCATGACAAATCAACAACTGGGATCCCATCTGATTAAAAAGCTTCTGCACTGCAAGAGAAACCACCAACAGAGCTAAGAGACAACCTACAATGTGGGAAAAAATTTTCAGCAGCTGCACCTTAGACAAAGGACTACTATCTAGAA